GAGGCCGCCGCGTCTACCACGCCTTCTTCGCCCAGGAGGTGAAGGACCATGACTGAGCAGCGACGCCTCTGATCTGCGCCGACGCGGCGCGACCCTCCGCAAGCCCCGCCAGCCCGCTCAGCTGGCCCGCGCCAGGGCTTGCCAGATCGCCCAGCATCGCGTAAATATTATGCATCTGATCGGCGCCATGCCTGCTGCTGAAGACATGTCCCTGGCCCATCACAATCAACGCCTCCTCCTGCTTGGACGCCGGCGCACCGCCGCCGCTGGCCCACGCCCGCCCCGCCGGCGCTGGGGGGGCAACGCGCGGACCAGGGTCGCGCGGAGGATGCCCCACTGCTCCGCTGGGCCGCACACCACGCGGGCGCGTCCTAGGGGCGATCTGGCCCGCGCCCATCGAACATCCAGGCCCGCCCCGCGACCTCGGTACTTCTGGTAAATTATCTGGGGTCTTGTCCACGACGATGGCCGCACCCCCTCAGCGCGAAACCCATGGCGCGCGCGCGTTGGTCGCTACCCCCGCTGCCGCCGCTTGCCTCGCGTCCGCGGCGGCGAGGCGGTCGCTCCAGGATTGGAACTCTGCGAGGAGCACGGCTGGCTCCCGCGGGAGCGCGAGCGCCTCGCTCCACGCCTCCTCGGCGACGTAGAAGGGCTTGACCTCTACGTCCTGCGACACCTTCCCCAGCACGCGCTACTCCTCGGAGGTCCCCTAAGAGTGCGGCCCAAGGACGGGCATCCTCCTGCTCCTGCTTGAAGCGCAACAAGGACCGCTTGCTGGTGGTGTCCGCCAGCTTTATTGGCTTCGCTGGCGCGACCAGCTCATTCGACAAACCGGTGCCCCTGTGCCACATTTGTTTCGCTGCGCCTTCCACCGCTAGTGATAGACCGCAGCGCGACTTCCACGGCGCATCCGGAATCGTCCGCGGCTTCCACCTGTTCGCTACTGTCTGGCTTGAGATCGCGCAGTCGATGAGGCTGCCTTTCCCTCTGCCACAAGTGACGTCCACATCTGGCTGGATGAGGCCCCCTCCAGTTCTGAACGACATCCTTCTTGCGCAAGTGATCGCACGGGATGTTCCCGCATGTGCGCATGATCCATGGGTCCGCCAAGACGCCTGGCAAAGCCCGCCAGAGCGCGCACCCAGTCCGCGGCTGCGCCGTGGAAGCCGTCGCGCGGGGCCAAGTACGCACAGACCAGGGCGAAGTCACCCGCTCTCGCGTGGTAGTTGACCGCCGTGAATCCTTGGAGCGGGCCCTTCTGCCCGCCCTGCATCGACCGCCCCCATGGGCGCGTCGTGCGTCGTGCACGCCAGATGTGACTTCGCCAGGATGGGGGGGGCCCCTCCTGAGGTGCATTCCACTGATATGATGGTGGGGGCCGCCGCCGTCCCCGTCCATCCATCCTTGGCCACGTCTGTCTTGACCTGGGGCAGCCGCTCCTGGTCGACGCGAGTATCCTAAATCACGATGACGCCCATGAGGTTGCCATCCTCGTTAAGGTACGCGTGGGCCTTGACCACCGACTGGGTGATGCTGGTGAAGAAGACATTGCAAAAAAACAATCTGCAGCAGCAGCAGCAGCCGCTGCGCCCAACAAGCATTCGGCCGCGGCCTTACTACATTTAGCTTTGGCCTTTCCGTTGGCGCGCAGCCTCTCAAGGCGATCTTCCCTGGCCTGGACCTCCTCTTCCGCGGGCGGGGCCGCCGCCGCAGACGCCGCCGTCGAGCCCCCGCTGCAGCTACCCAAGCCGGCCGCCGTCGCGTCGGCCCTTGCAGCGCCGCCGTCCGTGACCTTCCTTTTCTTCTGCAAGCGATCCGTGAAGATGTTGTCCGCCTGCTCCTTCGCGCCCTGGAAGGCCGCATACTGCTGCTGCACGTTTTCCATGATGGGTGTGAATGCCCCCATGTCAACATTGAGCGTGAGTAGATTATGTGTGTCCTCCCCTTCGTACTCGTCTAGATTGGGTAAGAGCTCGGGGTCGACCTCTGGTGGTTTCCAGCCGCCGTCGATCTCCTTGCCCTTGAGACACAACGCCTGTCCTCCGTAGGTGCGGAGGCTGGCCTCGTGCTCCTCCTCCGCTCCTGCCGCCTGCTCTAGACCCTTGTCGTGGCGCTCTTTGGCGGCGTTGAGCCATCGCTCCACTTCCTGCAGCATGTTGGCCGACTTCTCGAGGTTGCTCTTTGCCTTGTCCAGCTTGTTGATAGCCTGCCGCAGCGCCAACGCCTTGGAGACCTCCATGGGCTTGGGGGCCTGGGACGCCGACTGCAGCTGCACGGCCTGAGGCGGCCCCAGGTCGACCTGGGCGTCGCCGAGGAACCCCTCGTTCGACTGGAATCTCGTGGTGATGGCCTGGATCTCGTCCGCAGGTGCCTTCGGCGAGGTAACCGACTTCCACGGTGGCATGCCAGCGCCACGCTGGTTACGGCCTCCGCTTGTGTTGGTCCCGCTGTCCTCGCACCAGCCAGCGATGTAGTCGTTACGCGAGTTGCACCAGCCGCCCGAGCGCTTGAACTTCCAGTTGAAGACCCATCCTCCGCAGCAGGTGCAGACCGTGCATGGCTGATACTTCGGTATGTCGCCGTCGTCGTTGACAGTCGCTACTCCAGCAATAGCGCACAAAAACGACCGCACACACTGGTCTACGATTCCAGCCTGGGCGAACACGCGGATGGTAGTTCACTGACCGCGGACTAGCGGCATTCATTTCTGGCGCTGCTACTGGCAAAATCTCGAGCCAAAATGGTTACGGAAGGAGGAGGGGGAGGAGGAGGAGGATGTGGAGGAGGAGGAGGAGGAGGAGGTGGAGCAGGAGGAGGAGGAGGGGGAGACGGAGGGTGAGAGGGAGGAGGAGGAGGAGGAGGAGGAGGAGGAGGAGGAAGAGGAGGAGGAGGAGGGCGGGAAGGACACGCAACGCAACGCAGCGCGGAGGAGAGAGGACATCACCCCGCAGGGCGTGGGCAAATACGGATCGAAGGCGGCCCCACAAGCACAGAGCAGCACTTCCTGTAGACCCGAAGACCGTCTTGGAGTCGCAGTGACAGTCTGCGCATTGCCACTGGGATCTCGCCAGTGTGGATGATGTGATTCGTTTTCTCCAGCGAGCAGGGCGCGCGTCTAGGTGATAGGATTTAGGGAGCATGCTCGTATCAGCTTGTCCCTCCTCCCTCGCCTCCTCCTTCGCCTCCGCCCCTCCTCCTCGGCCCCCGCCTCCTCGGGGCTGTGCTGATTATGGATTGTTCCCTCTCTCTCTCTCTCTCGGGCAGCCCAGAACATAGGGTTCAGCCATTAGGGGGAGGTTCTTTTGGCGCTTGGAGTCGGGTCGGCACAACGACGCGTTCACGAAATGCGGTTGCGAAGCATGGCTCGACGGTTCCAACACAGCCAGAGACCACCCTAAAGCAGTTGCAAAAGGCCGTATGACCATCCAAAGACCGCCCAACGAGCCCCGAAAAGCTCCAGAATCCTCTTCCAAAGAAGCGTCCAGCGAGGCCCTCAGAGGCGAACAACGCTGGAAACCAACAGAACATCCATGTGCCTTGCTTCCAACTGTTCCGCTTCAGATTGCCTCGGGAAGGCTTCAGCGAGCGCCCAAAGCCCCAGAGAAGGCCCAAAAACAGCCACGAGAGCTCCCAAACGCAGGCCCAGGAGCACTGTTCGGCCCCCCGAAGGCGCCACGAGCCAAAGACTGCCCAAAACAGCTGCAACACGCCACATGACAGTCCAAAGACGGACCAACAAGCTCCCACCAGCTCCAAAATCCTCCCAAGATGCCTCAGGATGCCCCAAGAGAGACTTCTTCGGGACGCCCAGAGAGGCGACGAAGTCTTCAGAGGCGACACGCTGCGAAAAGCATCAGGATAATAACTGTTTGCTTTTCGGCTTCAGAGCGCCTCGGGCAAGCTTCCGAGCCCCGAGAAGCTCACAAGACGGACCAAAACTGCTGCAAGAGAGCCCCCAGATGGCCCCGAGACTGCCCGAGAAGCCTCCCAGATGGATAAAGAGGGCTCCAAGACGGCGCCAAGGAGCGCCCAGACGTCCCCAGAATGCTTCAACCGAGCCTCGCTGGGACAGCTCGGCGGAATAACTGCGCCCAAGACGGGCCCGATACGTGGCCCAAAAGGCCCTCCAGAAGCCAAAGTGAGCCCCCAAGAAGCTGCCAATGCGCTGTAAAAACAAAAAGCGAGGACGAGGCAGGAAAGAAGAGAAAGAGGCTGCGGACAAAGGCTCAATCCGAAGTATCTGAAGGGGCCCCAGGACACACAAATAAATACACACAAACCCCATATTTCCCCATATTTCCTGGGTTTTTGTCTTCCCCCCCACTTCCCATGTTTTCCCATATTTTCTGGGAAATCGACGATTCATTGTGTCTGCGTGTTTTTTCCCCTCCTCAGTATCTTGGCGACCTCCTTCCAGCTGCGCTGCTGGGCCGGCACGGTGGCGGGATCTGCCGCAGGCAGCTGGACTTCCACGGCGTCGTGGTCCGGACTCCTCGGCCGCGGCCCCACGGATGCAGGACGGCTGTGCGCGGATGCCCCGCGCGAA